GTTGTCAGGAAGAGCAAAGGCGTCAGACCCAGGGCAGCCCAGAAGACACAAGTTACACGAGAGACCCAACAGGGCTTGGCGAATGCATCCCTGCGACGCAGAGAGCCAATGTCGCGCCGAGGTATGGACCAACACCAGTTGTACGTGTAAGCAGGCACGGGACACCCGAAGACTGGCAGTGGCAGACTGCTTCATGGATGTGCGATACTGGTCGTCCGCACATGTCTTATTCGAGTCGGCCCGTTGCAGCATGCACGAAAGACCGGGCTTGATTTTGATCGACTGGGGAAGATATTTCCAAAGACTTCACGGCGGCGGCTTCCGGCGAGCAACAACGACAATACCGACATTACGCGTGATGTCTTGATGGACAAAGCAGCAAATTTGGGAATGAATGTTGTTGCAGTGAGAGTTCCAGGTAGATTAGGAAAATAAAAAATATTTGGTCATTATCCCCTATGATTCATTAATTATTGACATCTTCCAGACGTTTGTTTTGCAGGTCTAGGTCTTTGAACCGATTGAAAAGACGATCAGTTTGTTTGGGTCCAGTTGAGGTCCTTTTACACGCGACAAACAAATGTGTATGTGTAATCATTCATTAACAATCAATGACTAGTATTGTTTGTCCCATTTTTGTTGCGCTTTTCGTGTTTATTTTATCTTTCTTTTTCCCCCGTTTTAGGTCGTTTCTTTAGTTTTTCGTCCCTTTTGTGTTTTATTATGTGTTTTCCTTCATTTTGAGTCATTAGGTGTTTTTTGTTTGTTTTTCCGGTTTTCTTTTGTGTTTTGTCGTTTTTGGTGTGTAGGTCAAAAGATTCAAGCGAATTTTCTCTTGAGAAGTTGGTTTCGAGGGCATAACTGGATAGAGGGGTTCGTTAGCGACGCATAGGAAAAAACGGAACTCAATTCCGAGTTCGGACGAGCTCAAACGAGGCGAAAACGCAAAATGGCGCAGTGCAGCCCAGAATCTCGCGAATCGCGAGCACAAAGTCGCTAGTCGTGAGTTTTAGTCGCGACTCACCATAGAAAAGTCGCGACTCGCGACTGTAACAGAGCCTCCAGCAGCCCAGCGACCCGTCCAACTCGCGACTCGCGAGTTGACTCGCGAGTCGCGACCCTGCCGACCCTGTTTTTTATTTTTGCTCGTTTTTACTCGTTTTAGCTCCGTTTTTCGCGCACTATATATCAAAA